TAACCTCTTAGTTGACTTCGACTATTACAAGGGGATGTGGTGAGGAACATATATATAGGCTTTTGGACAGTATCTTCAAAGTATCTCTGGGTTTCTGCCGTTGCCTTTAGGGCTGGACACCGAATCAGATGGGCCCTCTCCTATTCCTCCTGTAGGTTACATAGGGGCATGCTGGCTGAGTGTATACTCCTATTCACTAAAGATGTTTCGCCAGACAATCATGCCCGGTATGTAGTCTAAACACTGCAACAGCTTCGATTCTTGGCTAGTTAGTTATGTCGTAGAGTGTCACTGTCCTCTGTTTCTTCTTTGTTAGAGCTTTAAGTTCGTTGCACCATGAGGTCTTGAATTCTCTTCTGATTAAGGCCTTCATTTTATGGAAAGACATCGGCCGGTCTATGCATTGCAAAATTGTTGTCCCCTTCTTAGCAAGTGCGTCTGCATGGTCATTGCCTTTAATGCCACGGTGTCTAGGGATCCATTGTGAAACCACTGTTTTGTTTTTTCTCTCAGCAGCTGATAGATATTTTTTGCATTCGTATATCTCAGCTGTTTTGGGTGGCTCTCTGTTTGCTTTGTTTGTTTTTCTCTCTCAGCAACTGTGTTTTTCTTTCTCAGCAGCTGATAGAGTTTTCTACATTCTAGTATCTCAGCTGTTTTGGGTGGCTCTCTGTTTCCAATAGAGTCCTCAGCTGTTTTGGGTGTCTCTCTGTTTCCAATAGAGCCTTAGCTGTTTTGGGTGGCTCTCTGCTTCCAATTGAGTTTATTCCTCCGCAGCTCATAGAGTTTTCTACATTCCTTTATCTCAGTTTGGGTGGCTCTCTGTTTTCAATTGAGTTTATTGCTGACTATAAGTCCGAAAGTATTACTACTTTAATTAATTTCGTATTCAGGCAACATACTTGGCATAGTGCTTTCCTAATGGCCTCTATTTCTTCTTCAAAAGCGGATCCATTGTGTCCCGCTGCTGCGTAGAAAGAGAAGAGTTCAGAGTAGACATCTGCACCAACTTTTGCTTGGTTTTCTATGTATGACCCATGATTGAAGACTTGGAGCCATTGATCTGCAGGATAGTTGACATTGATTGTCTCAAGGGCCAGTGAGCACATTTGCTCTAGAGGGGTGTTTGATTTCCTGAAGAAGTCGGGCAGTTGGGCGCAACACACTACATCAGTGTCTGCTAATGGGTTCATGGGGAGAGAGAGGCTTTTTGGTTTGTCATCGATTTGTAATTCTTTCTTCAGTTCTATGGCTTTCTGTTGCTGTTAAGCATGTCTTCGATTTCCTTTCTAGCTATGCTTATGTTCTATAACCCCATCTGATGGAATGTGCTTTGAAGTCTCCTAGTACTACAGTTTTGTGTGAGATGTTCAGAAGATCGAAGTTGGGACTATTCTGGGGTGGATTATAGACCGCGTATATCTTGAAGTGGTTTTGACATTTCCAAACATTTAGTCTTATTATTTTACATATATCTTGCATCGATCCCATGCTCTTGAGTAGATCGTAACGTGATGTGAGGCTTTCTTTTACTCC